CGGCTGAGTGTGCACGGCAGGTGTGCTCGGTGCCCGGGGATGAAGAGGCTCCATCGGGGGGCTGGGGGTGCTGGGCTACTGAGCACCTCCTACACACCGGATGCAGGCACAGGGCCACCCGACGTTCCCCTTTACGTCTCTGGACAGCCAATATGCACCGTTTTCTCTACAAAGTGGCTGGCTGCATTTGGTGAAGGGTAATTCCCCCATCAGGAGAGCCAAGAAACAGCCCCCTGGCTGCCCTGCCTCCACCACGAACCGAGAAGGAAAGTGGGCTAATCTCATGAAAGCCAGGGTGAGGCTTTCCGAGCCAAGCTTCCCTGGAGGCAGAGCTCTCCACAGCCGGGCTTACCAGGAGGGAAAGCCTATTCTAAAACCACCTAAGATTTTTTTTTTTTTTTAATGTAGCTCTTAGACTTGGAGAAATTTAATAAAATCCTTCATAAAGGGGCACTGTCCTTTGACTTAGCTTTTCCATTTCAGTGGCAGAAATGTTGCACAAGGCAGAAGGAGGGAAAAAAAGTAATTTTTAAAACATCAATTGAACCGAATCTGCCTTGCTGCCCCCGCAACGGTATTTTATAGGAAAAGCCCAGGCTGCTAGTGCCCCCTAGGGGACAGTATGGGAATTGATCACATTATAGCAGGCAGCTTTAGGTGACAAATTTGTCTCGGGATCCAAAGAATTAGTGGGGCTTTAAATAAGTGTGCTGCATTGAGAACCTTAACGTTGGGCTCTCCCAGGGAAGACCCTTAGATTATAAGCCCCCAGAATGACACTGCCTTACCTGGAAATCTCTGACATCAAACAAGGGTGAGGGGTCTAAGACACCAGCCGGAAACTAACCTTCCGTGGAAGGAAACTCAAATGATCACTAACCAAAACAAATAGTAATAATCATAGCCCTACTTACGTGGGGCCGGTCATGTGCCACTTTATACCCATGAATTAAATTAACTCTCATAATTGCTCCCTTGCTGCGGTACTATGAATGAGTACTGCCCATTCATAGGTGGGCAAAGTAACACGGGGGTTTGTGACTTGGGCAGTCTGCACAGCTGGTATCACGGAGCCAGTATTTTTAACCAAAGGTTCCTTGGCCTGTGCTGCTACCTAATGAATCACTAAGTGTGTTCCACAGTAATTGACTTAAGAGCTAATTCTGCCACGTTTCTTCTCAGCTTTGAGTGTGGCCTGGGTTTACAGCTCACTGCAGGGCAGCTGAGTTCTCCAGCAAATTTGTGGTATGAAGCTCATCCTCTTCAGCCCATATGATCTCCTGGTAGAGAATCAGCTTCTGCAGTCCCCCAGCTGATTAATCACATAATCCCCAGGAGCACGTTATCCCCCCAGCGGATTAAATACCGGCTCACACAATCCCCAGGAGCACCTTCTTGCCATCCGTGGCTGTCCTGCAAGGGTACTCTGAAATGCCTTTTGTTTCTCTTGCTGCTTTTAAGGTTCTTTTATATCTACTACATCATTTTCTTCTGTGTGACACTAAAGACTTCAGGATTTGAATTTGCCTGTGACCCCAGTTATCAAAACTGTACCGAACTGCTTTTTCATAAAGTCTGCTTTGCATTCATTCATTCTAAGGCCCATCCCTGTCTTCCAGGGAGAGTAACGTATCAGAGCAGGGGGCAGCAAATGTTTTGTGTAAAGAGACAGTCACTGTTCTAGGCTTTCAGGTCACATGGTTTCCTGTGGCAACTACTCGACTCTGGTGGTAGCCATAGGTAATACTAAATGATGAGCATGGGACTGTGTTGTAATAAAACTTTATTAAAACCGGCAGTGGGCCATATTTGGTCCAAGGGCCTTTGTGTGAGGACCCCCGAATTACAGGGGCATAGCTCTTACCTACTCCTGATTTCCTTCCAAGTACAGAGCTGTGGGGACCTCACTCCTCAGGCATCTTTCTGCGTCTTAGCCCCAGAAAGGTAGAGCCACATATCAGATTGGTGAATTTAGGAAGGATAAAGACCTTCCATGCCTGACTCTGCTCTTTTTCTGTTGGCAGCACCTGGCCCCCAGGGGCTGGGGGTTCAGCTCTGATTTTTCTGGGGCCCACAGCAGCAGTGGCCGGATCGGTAAATCTACCTGGTTCAGAGCTTCAGTGTCCAGGGTCAGTTTTTATCCAGAGTCCTTAGCAGTAACCTGCAACCTGGCTTTTAGCTCTGACAGATCCGTATCTTGACCCCCATCTGTTTTAGTCTTTTATTTTATTTCTCTATAGTCTCAAAGTGGTACGTAACAGGACTCCTCAAAGGTACACATAAAATGATGTATTTGTGACTTTTTTTCACACAAAATTTATGTTCTCTCAATAAACCAGCATGGACCAACTTAAAACATCGAGATTCCTGGCCTTTTGGCTGGTTCTCTCACGCTGTGTGGAAAGCTCTTCATGAATCATAAATTGGCAGTGATACAGGTTTTGCATGCTTAAATTGTAAAATTCATTTACTCAATGAAATTATTTACAGATAAAAGTTCTCTCAAAAAGAGGCTAAGGGGAGGAGAAACTATGAGGCCCATCGTGGCACTGAGGTAGGGCAGCATCGCTCCAAATCTCCCCAGTGTTTACCTTCCGGATATTCTGGTTTAGGAACACGGCAACTGGGGCTGCAAAGCCAGGGGTGCGGCGGATGTCCCCTTTCTTCCTCTGTCCTTCCATCCCTCCATATTGGTCAAAGCCAAACAGAGGTGCTCACAGAGATGAGATCCTCCTGGCCAAGGGTTATGTGCTGGCCTGCTCGGGCTGCTTAAACGAAGCACCCAGACTGGGCGGTTTAAACAAGAAAAACATACTGTCTCACAGCTCTGGTGACAGGAAGTCTGAGATCAAAGTGTCCACCAGGGCCTGTCCCTCCTGAGGGCCATGAGGGGATAGGCTGTTTCCAGCCTCTCTCCTTGGCTTGTGGAAGGCCATCTTCTTCCTGTCTGTTCCCCACCATCTTCCATCTATGGGTGTCTGTCTCTGGGTCTAAATTTCCCCTTTTCAGAAGGATACGAGTCATGCTGAATGAGGGCCCCCCCCCACGACCTCATTTAGTTGGATCACCTCCACAAAGACCCTGGCTCCAGATAAGGTCACATTCTGAGGTTCCTGGGATGGGCATCTAACATGAGAAATCGAGGAGGACACAATTCAACCCGGGACGATTGTTTAGAAAGCTCTGCTGGAGTTTGTAAGGCTAAGCCCTGTGACGTTCTCTTATATTTCACGGGTGGCCAGTCCTCCAGTGTGTGCTGACTGACCTGAACGGGGATTCATCTGGGCTCTAGGACTTGTGGGTGGGGAGGAGAGAAGGGAAGAAAGGATGCATCCCTACACATCATGAGGGAAAGACCTCTTTCCTCCCAGGCACTTGGCTCCCCTATACCCTCCCTGAGCCACTCACTGTGTCTGCGGGCTGAGCATCCTTGGACTAATGAGGCCCCTGCACCCTGAACCCCAAGACACACTGGAGACAGTTAGGGAAAATGGCTTCACAAAGGAGTAGAGGACTCCTGACAAGTTCTGAATTTGCTTCTCTTCCTGCTTCCGATGCAAAATGGCCTTCCCAGACCAGCAGGCTTTCCCCAGGAGGCCGGCGGGCCTGCAGGAGCATGGCCAGAGTCTAATGAGGGCTCGATGCCCTGCTATCCCCGCAGGCAGATGTCCAGATCTGCCTCCTGGTCATCTTCGGTTTGCAGGAGGGCTTTCCATGGGTGTCTATACCTGTGACTTTTGGGGTACAGTCGCTGTCACGCTGACCCCAGAAGGAGTCCTGCCTCCCACCTCTGTGCAGCCCACGTGTTCCCAAGACCCTCCTCTAGATCCAGGGCAGAGGGGTCACCTTGCTGCTCCTGCTAGTAGTCCTGGAAGCCCAGGGGCTCCCCAACCCTTCCCCTGAAAACACTTGACCTAACGCACCCCCAAATAGCTCAGGATACCAGGCTGAGCATTCTCGCACCCCACTCTACCCTGTCTGCCCAAACCCCAGCACCTCGTTCCAGCTGAGCATACCCACCCCCCAAAACACGCGTGCATACACACACACACACACACACACACACACACATACACAGCTCAGCCCCAGCCCATCCTTTAGGTCGGGGGAGGTCCACCTTACTCTTGCAGTCGTGGTTGCTGTAATCTTTGGGGTCCAGGTGCCCCAGAGGAAGGCTGCTCTCCCAGCTTCCTTCCCCCTGTGACCCTGATGCCTTCTTAATCTGTCCTCAGAGGCTGTGCAGAGCTGCACCAGCCCCCACCCTCCACCTCCCAACCCCCTTGCAGCCTGCCCCCAGAGTCCCACACCAGAGTTGCAGCGCGGACCCTCGGACTGTCCCAAAGTGTAGTCCAGGCCTGCAGCGCCGCCCCATCCACCATCCCCCGGCCTTCTCCCCGGCCTTGATTCCGGGCTGTGAGGGCCCAGCCCGGTCTCCGTCAGCGTAGCTCCACTCCAGCCCCACTACGCCGCAGGACGGCCTCGCCCCCACCCCGCCTCCCCGCAGGCCCCCTCCCCCGCTCTGCAGAGCCCTCCTACCCCTCCGCCCCGCCCCTATCCCTCCTCTCCTCCAGGCCCCTCCCCCGCTCTGCAGTCCCCTCCT